GTTTCCAGTCTTGTCAAAACGCTGGCGCTCTGGACGGCGCTTGCTGCAGTGCTCTGCACAAACCAGTGTGCGCGACACCGTGTGACACTTGTCCCGGCACATGGACAATCATGCCGGCTGGACAGGTGGGGATGCCGGTATTCTCATGAACGGGGAGCGTTCTTCCATTTCCAAGAGTAATTACTGTGAAAATGGAGACGGACATTGCCCTGCCCCTTTCCCCACTTTTCTGAAGTATTGGACGGTGAGCTTTCAAGATGTTTCCAGAACCTTGTGGTGTCCTGGGCCCTGATGCCGTTTTAGGGAGGCCTCAGCAGCAGACTCAGTGCAGGCATCGGGCTTGCAAGTCAAGCTCTGCCAACTAGATCCTAGAAATGCAGCTGGGAAACCTAACTCTCCCGAAACAGGTCAGAGAGACCGTGCCAGGGCGAGACAGCCGGTCACCCGGTGCTGCTTTTTTGAGGTCGCTCTAAGTTAGAAGCTACGCAAAACATCATAATGACATCACCCTAGAGCACTGCAACTTGATTTGGGGCATTATGATGTGATATATCATGGGGTACAGACTGAGTGGGAGGAAGCACACTGTGGCAGTCCCCCTCACCAGGGGGCCTTGGGAGAAACAAGCTCTGATGCCCCAAGGCAATGTTTTCAAAGTATGGCCCAGGGGCCCCTGTGGTTCCTGAGACCCATCCTGGCAGATCTCCCAAGGTCAAAACCATTTTCAGAATAATATAAAAATGTTACTTGCATTTTTCATTCTTATTCCTTTATCTGCGTACAGTGGAATTTTCCAGAGGCTATAGGATGAGTGATGGTGCAACTGAGTACAGAAGTAGACGTAGAAACTAGCTGTCTTCTATTACACCACCCACTAAAGAGATTTGCAAACATGTAAAACAATGTCACTCTTCTTGGTAAATTTTTTTGTTTGGGTGTTAATTTCTTTTTCATAAAAATATGTTATTTAACATATAAATGATCTATGATTGTTATTTTAAATAAATCAGTAAAATATGTTTAATTATTTAAGTTCTATATGGTAAATATTGATAGTATAACACA